ACTTTGCCTCTATTCTAAGTTTCTAAATTCTTGTCTATTGAAGAAAAACGTTTGCTTTTTAATGCAGTTAGTTTTTTGTTGTCTCGGTTGTAGGTTACAACGCGATTGTTGTAAATGTTTATTGAATTTGAAATAGTTACAACTCCTCCACTGGGGCCATTTTAAAGAGGCAGATGACAGGATATAGGAATTTTTTGCTTTCATCCCCTGTCCTTTGAAACTGAGTAGCTGTAAGCACCCACAGTTCTGTTGAGAACAGTCTCTGAAGGGTTGAGAAAAGCAGAGGAAGAAATGTGAATTAGGATCATGACTGCAGTTTCCCGATGTATCTTGTTGCTTTGTACTGAATTAGCAAGAGCAGGGAAAACTTTTTTTTTTAAGTTACAAAAATAATTCATGGCGATTCATTCAGCACATATGTGAGTATCTATTGTATAAGCCAGATATTGTTTTAGGTGTATGGGATAAACAAGGAACAGAACAAACCAAAACCCTTGCTATATTCTAGCGGAGGTAGACAGACAAGAAACAAATGAAATGTAAATGGATGATGTGATAGGTGTAGAGAAAAGTGGAGCTGGATAAGTGGATAGTGTGTACGTGTGTGTGCCTGAGTGTGAGCCAGTGGATGGGGTGATGGTTGTTATTTTGTATGGCATGAGTAAGAAGGATTCAGGGATAACATGACTTTTGAGTAGAGATCTGAGTATGTGAAAGAGTGAACCATGCAGGTATCTGGAGGGTGAGGGCTACAGGCTGAAGAATATTTTGATGATCAACAGTGAGGTCAATGCAGTTTTATTCCACTTGTCAGTGGAAACATCATCATAGATATCTTTAAGTACCTCCTCAACAGCAATAATAAATAATAAAGTACAGAGCCTCCAGAAAAATACCAATTTATATTCCCTGATGGCTTAGATGGTTAAGAATCCGCCTGCAATGTAGGAGACCTGGGTTTAATCCCTGGCTTGGGAAGATCCCTTGCAGAAGGCAATGGCAACCCACTCCAGTGTTACCGCCTGGAGAATCCATTCCATGGACAGAGGAGGCTGGCAGGTTACAGTCCATGGGGTCGCAAAGAGTTGGACATACTGAGCGACTAACACGTACACACATATCCCACAGCAGTATATGAGGCATTAATTTTATGACCCCCTATATTACATATCATTTTTTAAAAACTGCTAGTTTCTTGGGCAAAACTTGGTATATTATTGTTTTTTAAAAGATTGGCTTAGTTTTTTATTTTTATTTATTTATTTATTTGGCTTAGTTTTTTTAATTATTTATTTATTTTTAGCTCTGCTGGGTCTTTGTGGCTGTGCCTGGGCTTTCCCTTGTTGCAAAGAGCAGACGCTACTCTACTTGCAGTGCATAGGCTTCCCATCGTAGTGCTTCTCTTGTTGCAGAGCAGAGGCTCTAACTAGGCAGGCTTCACTAATTGCAGCACATCGACTCGGTAGTTGCGGCACATGGGCTTAGTTGCTCATTAAGAACCAGGGATCGACCCCATGTCCCCTGCACTAACAAGCGGATTCCTGTCCACTGTATCTCCAGGAAAGTCCAGTATATCATTGTTTAATTTTAAAATTCTTGTAGTATAATAGACGTTGAATAATTTTTCATATGTTTATTGGCCATTTGTATTTCTTGTGTGTATATGGGTATGAGAGAGAGACACAAAACCTATTTTTGTCATTTGACTGTTTTTCTTTTTTCTTTTGGGGAATTGGTTTTTCTGTCATTGATTTATAAACACTCATCCTACATCAAGCATATTAAACTCCAACCACTTTTATGTGTTGCCTGTATTTTTCCTGGTTTGTTAATCATCATGTTAATTGATTTTCTTCATGATATTTTTGGCCATTTTATATAGGCAGATCTCTCAATCTTTCCTAGTGGCGCCTGTCCTTGGAGTTATGTATGGAAAACCCAGAAGCAGAACATTTATTGAATATTGTTTTTTAACATGCCATGCACTGCCCCAGATGCTGCTTATTCATTCTCTTAACTAATCATCTCAGTAGCCTTCTGAACATTATTATCCCTATTTTATAAATGAAAAATTGAGCTTTCACTGCAAACTAGCTTTAGAGCTGGGGTAAAAACCAGCTAGCTTTAGAGTTGGGATATAGACCTGCTAAGTCGGAAGGTTTGCCTGACCATATTCTTTCTACTACATACAACCCCCTGCTCTGTATTTGTGCATCCTTCCTGCCCCCACCCCTGGATGATCTCGATGACCCCTAGATAACCCCTGTCCTAGATGCCCTGACCTAGAAGACAGGGCACAGCCCACCCAGAGATGTGAGTGAAATCTGTCCGTCTCTTAGAGCTGTTGGTTAAAGTTAGCTGACTGCTGGAACAGTCCTTGGAAGTGAAGAGAGCTAATCATAATTTCCGAGACTTGGGCAACCATGTGACTGTTATAAGATTATAGTCTCCAGTGCCCAGAACTAGATACGATTTTCATCACTTACTGCTATATCTTCTGAGAAAAGAATCCTCAGTTTTAGCTGAGCTAACTAGGATGTCAAAATTATAGTTTCCTTTCTTCCTGAAGAAAGGATTTTAAAGAACTGCTTCAAGAGATGACAAACACACTAAGAAGCACCACCCTCGCAGCTCGTGTCTTCACCTTGTCTCCACACTGCCTGGAAGATCATGGAAAGTTCAGTTGTCCTGAATTTTATCTGCCCCAGTAGCTGTTGAAAGGTCTGACCCCTCCATATTGTGAGACCCCACTCACAGTTGTGAAAACTCTGGGAGCCAGAGATCCAAATTAGAATTCCTGAAGCAGCCTGTGTATATTTTTTTTCTGGTTGAAGTTCTTTCTTTCTTTCTTTCTTTTTTATTAAAAGTCTTTATTGAATTTCTTGCAATATTGTTTCTGTGGTACATTTTTTAGGTTTTTGTCCACAAGGCATGTAGGATCTTAGCTCCCCAACCAGGGGTCTAACTGGCACCCCCTGCATTGGGTGGCAAAGTCTTAACCACCTGACCACCAGGGAAGTCCCCTTTCTTTTTTTTTTTAATAACAAAAAGAAACATGTTTTATTGAGAGAAAAAAATTCTATTCTAGTAGTAAGACATGGAGGGAGATTTAGTCAGACCTTATGCCATGCTCCATACTCATAGTACTTACAGAGATAGAATTTTTTTTTGGCTTAAAAATAACACAAATTTATTATCTTACACTTCTGGAGTCCAGAAGTCTAAGATGGCTTCACTTGGGATGACAAGTCTTTGGCGGTAAAGACTTTACTACAATTAACAGATTTTCCCTCATTTTTTTGTGTTTCAAAACTTTGCAGTACAACCTTAAGTTTTCAGAGGTCCCAGTTGCTTTTCAGAATCTGCTGACAATTTTCATCCCCCCAAAAAATGTTTATTTGTACATATCTTCTAATTTTGCCTAAACTTTCTCTTTTTTTAAAAAAATACACATTTTAAAAATGTTGGTGGTATTTTCAAGCTGAACAGTCAATACTGTTTTGTTTTTGTTTATTTATTTTGGCCACACCACCCAGCATATAGGATCATAATTCCTCAACCAGGGCTTGAACCCACATACCCTGCACTGGAAGGCAGACTCCCGACTGATGGACCACCAGGCAAGTCCCTGTTGTGCAGATTTTTAAAATGATAACAGCATAGAAAATATTTAACACTGGGCCTGGTTTGTAGGAAAGGCTCAAACAATGTCAGTGGTGATGCTGGTAATATTAACTCTGCTGTGAGCACCTTGGCCGTTGCTGTGAGTTTTGGCTGAATGAATGTGTACAGGAGGTAGGGTTTGAAGGCCTTATTTGAGACTAAAAGCATTTTCATGCTGCATTCTCTGGGAGGTTGTGCAAAAAGCAGGTTTGATGATAGATAAAGTCCCTGCTCATGATAATCCAATTAACAAAGAACATTTCTTGAACAGGCACCATCCGAGGAGAGCAGTTCATTGAGTTACTTGGGATTATTATGTTATATTCTGCAGGAATGCTTTCACTAATTCATATTTATTATTAGAATGACTCTGGGAACTTGCATTAGCCAACTGAATGCATTTGTAACTAATGGGGAAAGCACACATCAGTGATGTGTGCTCTATGTAAAGCCTGGGATTTTGCTTTTCTTGAGGAGAGCAAGACCCTCAGCTGAGTTAAAAAAGCAGTTCTTGGTGTGGCCACAATGTAATTGAAGAAATGTGCCCTTGAGAAGTCCTTAGAGATTTCTCGAACTGGCATCCCAGGTTAGCTGCTGAGGCTCAGCACATGGCCACCCAGCTCAAGTTCAAGCGCTGGTTTCAATTCCATCCTTTTAAAACACTGTGGCTCCTTTCGTGGTTCGATGGAGCTGTTTGGTACCTTGCTAGGTGTGTGTGTGTGCTTAGTAGCTCAGTCGTGTCTGACACTTTGAGACCCCATAGATTGTAGCCTGCCAGGCTTCTCTGTCCGTGGGATTTTTCAGCAAAAATACTGGACCGGATTGCCCTTTTCCTCCTCCAGGGGATCTTCCCAGCCCAGGGATTGAACCTGCATCTCTTATGTCTCCTGCACTGCAGGCAAATTCTTTACCCTCTGAGCCATTGGGGAAGCCCTTTGCTGGGGAAATAGCTTTTAAAAAAAATTTAAAAGGAATTTGGTGTGGCTTCAAAGCATCTGGCTACTTAAATTTCAAAGAATAATGTTCACTGCTCCTTAACAAAAAAAAACCCAGGTCTGTTCTGTCTCCCAACCTGCAGGAAGTCTTTTTCTGTCTCTAGCTTGTTTGTGGCTGATTGTGGGGTCAGTAACGCCACATCATTGGCTGAGTGATGGGCTGTGGGCAGAATGTTTTGGTCAGCCTTCATCCCGCTTGATGATACAGACCGTGTCAGGCTTCACCAGTTACTTGGGGATGCTTAGACAACCACGGGTGCTGTATTTGGTGTATGGGAGGGTCATATCTTCCAGGGAGGTCTTTTGGACAGAAATATCATGGCCTCTTTCCCTCTTTTTCAGATCTGATGTTTTGACGTGGCTTCCTGCTTCGGTGCTATTTGTGGGTATCATCTATGCTGGTTCCAGAGCGCTGTCCAGACTGGTAAGTGTGAGAGCCTTTGAGGGGGGACAGTCCTTTTCTCATCTTCCTCTCTGCCTTTTAACTGGTTGCACCTCAGATCAATAGTGGACAGAGCATCAGCTTTAACGATGGTACAGCTAGATTGGAGAACTAGTCTTCAGGCTGAGGCCAATGTGGAGCCTGTTACCCCCTCTTCCTGAATTGAAGGGAACCACGTAACAGGGAAGGGACTTCCCTATAGCTCAGATGGTAAAGAATCTGCCTGCAGTGCAGGAGACCTGGGTTTGATCCCTGAGTCAGGAAGATCCCCTGGAGAAGGAAATGGCTACCCACTCCAGTATTCCTGCCTGAGAAATCCCATGGGCACAGGAGCCTGGTGGGCTATAGTCCATGGGATCGCAAAGAGTCAGACACAACTGAGTGACTAACACACACATGTTAACAGGGAAGGACAGACTTGTGTTATGAAATAGAGACTCAGAAAGGTGGAGACTCAGAAAGACAGAGTAGGGATATTTGTGGAGCTTGCTCTGTGTGGATGCAGCCTGTCCTTGGGAGCAGGGAGGGCGGGCTCAGTCTGCTCCTTACTTCCGGGGACCATGACCCCACCCATCAGTAACGCCGCCTGAGAGCGCTGGGCTTACTTGTGGGTGCACATGCCTGGCCTGAAATTGATGCCCATGACACGTGCACCCTAGTGAAACAAGTGTTCATTCTGTCCTCCCACCCAGCCCCCAGAATTGAGCTCCTCAAAGGAGGCTACTGTGAGGAACAGATTCCTTCCAGTTACATTATATAGTATGTGGAACTCCAGAAATTTATTTTGCCACCAAAAGAGAGCCCTCAAATATCACTGTTGACCAGAGTCAGAATGTGGCTTAAAAATCAGGAACGGTGTTAAGACCTCTTCGCTTTTAAAATCCCCTAATTGCTACTTTTATCTATCAGAAAATGATTGTATTCTGATGTTGGAAAAATGCAAACTCTTCACACTATTTAGTTTTCTGTTTTAAATGCATACTTCTCCAACCGATTTATTTTGGTAAAGGAATAGATTTTGAGGAGAAAAAACATGGGGCAGAGAGGTATGGAATAGAAAATAAGTACAGATGTAAGCTATTTTGCTAGTTGCAGTATAACCACAACAAACTAGTACAGAGAATGTTCTGGACAAAACAACACAATAAAGGTTCAGATATCAAGGTGTTCCCTTAAGCAAGACTGAAGATTTCAAGTCTCTGGTATTTGGAATTTAGGCTGCAGTCCTTGTTTTTGGATGGATCACTTGGTATGTGGCCCAGGCCATGCTTTAAACCAGATTTGAACCAGAAAATGACCCCTTGGCCCAGGTAGAAGTCGATGAAATGTTTGGTTTCATGTGTCACGTAACCAGCAAAGTTCCTCCCCATGATGCTCTGCCGGGTGGGGTGTACTTCTTGTCAGACACCTTCTTGATGTGGGCAGCAATGTCCTTCTCTGATTATATTTCTCCAATGTCTGAGTAGCACACTCCACCAAGTCCTGTTGCATCTCCTCTGGCATATCAGCATTTAAAAAATTATTATTTAAAAAAATATTTATTTATTTGGCTGTGCAGGGTCTTAGTTTCAGCATGTGGGATCTTTAGTTGCGTTATACGAACTCTTAGGGCTTCCCTGGTGGTTCATTCAGTAAAGAATCTGCCTGCAATGCAGGAGACTCGAGTTCAGTCCCTGGGTCAGGAAGATCCCCTGGAGAAGAAAATGGCAACCCACTCCAGTATTCTTGCCTGGAGAATCCCATGAACAGAGCCTGTTGGGCTACACCCCATGGGGTTGCAAGAGCCAGACACCACTTAGCAACTAAATCACCATCATGTGAACTCTTAGGTTTGGCATGTGCAATCTAGCTCCCTGATCCCGGGCCCCCTGCATTGGGAACGTGGAGTCTTAGCCACTGGACCACCAGGGAAGTCAGCATATTGGCATTTTTGATCACGGCCTTTCGGTCACACATGGTTACCAAGGAGCGGTGTGTGTGCTTAGTTGCTCAGTTGTGTCCAACTCTTTTCGACCCTATGGACTGTAGCCCACAAGGCTCCTCTGTCCAAGGGGATTCTCCAGGCAAGAATACTGGAGTGGGTTGCTATGCCCTCCTCCAAGGGATCTTCCCAACCCAGGGATAGAACCTTGGGCTTCCCTGGTGGTTCAGCTGGTAAAGAATCTGTCTGCAATGCAGGAGACCTGGGTTTGATCCCTGGGATGGGAAGATCCCCTGGAAAAGGGAACAGCTACCTACCCCAGAATTCTGGCCTGGAGAATTCCATGGACTGTATAGTCCATGGAGTCACAAAGAGTTGGATATGACTAAGCGACTTTCACTTTCTTTACCATCTAAACCACCAGCTACTAGGGAAGTCCAAGAATACTGGAGTGGGTAGCCTATCCTGTCTCCAGGGCATCTTCCCAACTCAGGAATTGAACCAGAATCTCCTGCATTGCAGGCGGATTCTTTACCAGCTAAGCTACCAGGGAAGCCTGCCAAGGATCAGAGGGTTGGCCAACTGTGATGGTCTCCTGGGGGAGAGGCTGAAGAGGTTCAGACTTGTTGGGAGCGGTCATTGCTACCTAAGCCATGATGCTTCTCCAGATAATTTAGTTGGTTTTTTTTTGGCCATGATGCATGGAATGTGAGATCTTAGTCCTCCAGGAGTTGAATCTGCACCCCCCTGTATTGGAAGCATGGAGTCTTAACCACTAGACCGCCAGGGAAGTTCCAAAACAATATTGTTTTCTAACGTAAAGTTTATTGTTGTGCTGGCTCCTTAGAAGTCAGATATGAAAATGTGTTATGGTAGCTGTTCTCAAAAACAAACAAAATCTGCCTCTCTGGATAATGATAGCGTTGTTAAGGACAACTCCGAGGTTGCAAAATAGCAGTTGAAAATTAGTACTGGTAATTTCTAAATGAAATCATCATTTTTCTTTTGTGATTCATAAGCTTGAGTGAGTGGGATGTTCTGTGTGATGGGGGAGAGAACAGTCCGACTGACCTAAGAGGTGAGCCGCCACACCGCGTTGGTGGGTGCTGATCCTGGAATAGGGGCCAGGCTGGCTCACCGCTGCCCCTCTTGATGCGGTTGGGCTCCTCGGGTCTGCGGCCTCACTTTATGCCTTCTGGCCTGTAGGGGGAGCTGCTTCTCCAACCATAGAGTATAGGATTTGTTTGGGGAAAAAAAAAAATCTATAGTTGTATAAAAGCTTGTAAAATTTTTTTAGGCTCTGGATAGTTATGGATCCCACAATTTTTTAGTTTGAATAAGTAAGGTGTCATGTTAATAATGATGATGATTTTTTGCTTGTATGGTGCTTTTTCATATGTTTCTGGAGTGATTTCCTTTGTATCTCTCTGTGGGGTTCTTCCAGTCACCTGACAGAGGAAGGAACTTAGGTGTGGCAAGTTACCAAGACTTTCGCCACCTAATGGAAATCTCTTCTGACTCCCCACCTTTCACCTTTTCTGATTTGTCTTTTTAGGGTCAGTGTATGTGGATTTTCAAATTAGCCCTGGGTATAATAGTCTTGCATAGACTTGAGACTCTTATGGTTGCAAGTGCTAGAAAGCTCACCAACTGGTCTGAGCAAAGGGGAAATCTCCTGGTTCACATTAATGAAAAGTCATCGGTTAGAAACTGCTTTAGGCATGGCTTGATTGAGAGATTTGAACTGTGGTGTTGGAGAAGACTCTTGAGAGTCTCTTGGACTGGGAGGAGATCCAACCAGTCCATCCTAAAGGAGATCAGTCCTGGGTGTTCACTGGAAGGACTGATGTTGAAGCTGAAACTCCAATACTTTGGCCACCTCATGCGAAGAACTGACTCATTGGAAAAGACCCTGATGCTGGGAAAGATTGAGCGCAGGAGGAGAAGAGGACCACAGAGGATGAGATGGTTGGATGGCATCACCGACTCAATGGACATGGGTTTGGGTGGACTCCGGGAGTTGGTGATGGACAGGGAGGCCTGGTGTGCTGCAGTTCATGAGGTCACAAAGAGTTGGACACAACTGAGCGACTGAACTGAACTGTTAGAGAGATTCCAGTGACCTACTCAGAATCCAGATGCTATCTGTCTGTCAGTTCTGCTCTGTCTTTGCTTCATCTCACAGTTCAGCTTTCCCCTCATGAGTCTTGTTGATTCCAGGCTCACATCCTCACAACTTCAAGTCTAATGAAAAAAGACTGTCTTCCTTGCAGCTTCTGCATAATTTCCAGGATTCACTCTGATTGCATCAGTTAGGGCCACTGCCCATCCCTGGTCTAAAAACTAAAAACTAACCAGGATGGAGTTATGCTGATTGGCTGGCCCTGGATCATGTCTTCCCTGAACCATTCTCCATGACTGGAAAGACCAAGAACACTATTTGGCCAGCCCTGGTCACACAGGATCCCCACCCACAACCATAGACTGATAAAGAATGAGGCACATCCTTGATATTGGGGTGTTTCATCAAAGAAAGGTATCAGGAGACGAGGTAGCCAATAAACCCTCAAAAGTCATTTGTAAATGTCAGTCCTGTATGTCTCAGGCACATGGAGAGCTCTCTAACCTGGAATAGTGCCTGTTCAAGTGTAGTCCACAGGTGGTGACAGCCTATGAGCTCTTGTTCAGTTCAGTTCAGTTGCTCAGTTGTGTCCAACTCTTTGCGACCCCATGCACTGCAGCATGCCAGGCCTCCCTGTCCATCACCAACTCCCAGAGTCTACCCAAACTCATATCCATTGTGTTGGTGATGCCATCCAACTTTCCCCATCTATTTGCCATGAAGTGATGGGACTGGATGCCATGATCTTAGTTTTCTGAATGTTGATCTTTAAGTCAACTTTTTCACTCTCCTCTTTCACTTTCATCAAGAGCTCTTGTTATCTGGCTCTAAGCAGACTGTGCCAGAGTGAACATCAAGCTTGGTACTAAACACATTGTTTAGTTGAGCTGGCTTTTTTTTTTTCACAGCCATACTTTTTGAAGAAGGAAGCACTGTACC